CGTTGGTCTCGCAAAATTCTACCATACGAGTTCCAGCATTATTCCTGTCACCAAGGCCAAATTTTCCAACTACCGGTGATTCTTCTTTGTTTCCAACAAAGAGACTAGACCACATGAAAAAGAACTGGCAGAAACAGAATTGTTCAGTGACTGTGATTTAGTCACTCTATGAAATAAAACCTATCAAATCTAGGTAGAAAGACCTATCAATCTACTTCTGAAAATTAAACAATGAAAGCTCTGTGAATCGCAACAGATACAGTGCTAAAAAATAAACCGCCTAGTTTGGAAGGTATTCAAAATACATAGTGGCCATAACAGTGGACTTGAGCATACCAATGACTGTGAACATAGTAGAAGTCCAAGCAACAATTTATCAGTGGTTATGTGGGGTTGTCATGAGTTGCACCTGGCTCAATGGCAACTGACAACAATGACAAAATTAAATCAAAAGTGTTTAAATTATAAAGGAGCAAGAAATTAGTGTGAGTTCATGTCTAAGGGACTTAGACCTAAGGGATTTGGGGAATTACTAAATTGACAGAATTAAAAACAGCCATGTTTACATGATGTTCATCAGAAGCAATGGCCAAAATAATAAGATGTTTAAACCCACACGTTTTCCTGATAAGCAGGAGAGATTCCATTAAAACAAACATGCAATGTCACTTTCCAAGATATGGTCAAAGCACCAGATCACCAAGCATTAGAAATGCCCATAGAATGCTTGGGTAAGGATGACAAATTAACAAAGGAATTGGCTAACTGTAGTCTTTAATCACCTATGTTGCTATCTATCTATCTATCTATATGTATACCTATCTATTTATATAGATAGATAAATAGGTATAGATGTATCTCTACTGCATTGAGTCAATTCTGACTCACAGTGACCCTATAGGACAAAGTAGAGCTATGCAAATCTTTACAGAAGCAGACTGCCTTATCTTTCTCCTGTGGAGTGGCTGCTGGGTTTGAACCACCAACCTTTTGGTTAGCAGCCAAATACTTTAACCACTATACATACAACCAGCTGCCATCAAGTTAGTCCCTGAGTCATGGCCACATATTTACAATTGAACAATATGCTGCCTGATCCTGCACCATCCTTAGGATTGGACTGTTTTGATCCATAGAGTGAGTATTCACTGGCTCTGTAGCAATATGCTTATGTGTGAAATTAAAGCAAATAAACTTGATGTCAATTTACTTTAAAGTATGTGTTACTTGACCTCACTTGCAAACAGTTAACACACTTGGCTGCTAACGAAAATGTTGGAGGTTTGAGTCTACCCATGGGTACCTTGGAAGAAAGGACTGCCAATCTACTTGAGAAAAATGAGCCTTTGAAAACCCTGTGGAGCACAGTTCTACTCTGACACACATGAGGTTGCCATGAATTGAAGTCCACTTTATGGCAACTGGTTTTGGTTGACCTCACTTCCTTTTATCATTTGTTTTAGAAACATTATTACTCTATTTAAGTGGGATTTGACAGCAGCAAATCTAGCTGTGCTTCACAAATGGTACCTCCAGTACCACCTAAACAGGTCTGTTCAAAGAGTTGAGGCAGTTAACATCACACCTGGATGAAGCAGATCCTGAGAAACAGCAGAATTCCCATCCGGGGCCATTTTTAGTTTCAAATTGGCATGTACTTGAGCCTAGATAATGAAACTCAAAGTCAGTCCATAAGGCTTTACAAGTGTTAATAAAACATTTTACTTGACGGTTGTTGTTGTTATGTGCTGTGGAGTCAGACCCAACTCATAGCAACCCCTCCTTAGGTTTCCAAGATAGTATCCACTACGGAAGTAGATTGACCAACCTTCCTTCCGAGGAGTGGCTGGTGGGTTTGAACCGCCAGCCTTCTGGTTAGCAGTCAAGTGCCTTAGGTACTACGCTACCTAGTATAGGAAAAGCCAACCCAGTTTCCTAAGTGATAGGTAAAGTTAAAGCTTCTCTAATATACAGGTTTCACATCATTTTTCATAAAGATTGAAATAGGAGCAGTGAATAGGAAAAGTACAAAGTGAGGGAGAAGACAGATCACTAAAATTCTCCCTTCTTTTTACTTTGTCTCCTTTATCTACTACCTGTTTTCATTCTCCTTGTTGAACCAAGAAAGCTAAAGACAAGGATGCACACAAGGCTCTTAACAAAATACTTTGTGATCATAAAAAACAATAGTAGGATGAATTTAATTGCATCCTGTCTTTCTTCCAAATTCCAGTTTTTATCCTGATATTGGCTTTTCAGGAGATAGCCTAATAAGGGATACAAAGGAGAAAGGAACAATGCATTTTTCTATTCAATGAATAAGCAAAGGGGATGGATAAAGCCAGGACAATCTGGCCCTTTACATTAGAAATAAATCCAATTAAAACAAACAATGATAAAAGAGAAAAGAACTTTCCAAAATGAAAAATACCTAACCAAATATGATCCTTTTTTTTTTTTTTTTTTTTTTAACTAGGAGAAGAATCTTTACTGCAACAATCATGAGCATAGTTACCTGTTGACAGGCCTTCTTCCAATTTAGCCGAGCAATAAAGCCTAGAAAACACGCAGCTTGGGAAACTGCACAGATGATGATTCCTGACCAAAGACCTAGAAATGGAAATATTTTCTAAAAGTTAATTCAGGGAAAACTGGTTATTCTGGAAAGTGCATTTCTTGTATCTCACTTCTGTCAGCCACGTTGAGTTATCTACTGACATGGCTGAGGTGGGGCTCACAATGGGCCAGAAACCTCCCGCCTGCTCTCTTGCTTGGTTTCCAGAAGATGCCCAGAGCTCCATTAGGCCACTGCCTATGGTTCTGGAGGTCAGAACAAACATTCAGAGGCATTTTTTGGCCTTTGTGATTATAATGCTTGGCAATCATGAGAAACGTCAGGACAAACTACTTCTGCCTAGTTTTCCTCAAAATAGGGGACAAACATAAAAATGGAGTCCCTGGGTGGTATTAACCAAAAGGTTGACAGTTTGAGTCCATCCAAAGGCACCTTGGAAGAACAGTCTGGTAATCTACCAGAAAAATGGTCATTTGTTAAAGACAACAGAGGTAAATACTAATACATAGACAACCCTGCAATAATAATAAAAAATATATGTATATATAAAAAGAAAATGCTGTGGAGCACAGTTCTACTCTGAGACACATGGGGTTGCCATGAGTTAGCATTGACTCCACGGCAACTGTTGTCATGGACATAAAAAAAGAAAATGCAGAAATCACCAGCCATCTACATTAATAATGTTCCCTCCCCTAGCACTTCCTTCTGTGCCTTCTTTACTTTGAGCACAGACTTTTCTGGGAAGTTCCCAAAGCAGAGCTATACGCTAGAGATGATTAAAAAACCAAAACCACCAAACTCACTGCCATCAAGTCGGATCCGACTCATAGTGACCCCTCCTTGGGTTTCCAAGGTGGTATTACTACAGAAGTAGATTGCCCAACCTTCCTTCCGATTAGAGAATAGGAAAGGAGACACTGAGGGGAATGAAGGATAGGAAAAATCTTGTAGCTCCAAAAGTACCACAACCAAATAAATGGTTCCTCTCTTATGGCTACCCAACACACAATGGAAACTAATGATGCTTGGTCCAGTGCCAACCCCATGATTGGCTGGGGATTGGACCACTGCAATCCATAGGTTTTTCACAGGCTGGCTTTCGGAAGTCAATCATTAGGCCAATCACCTAGTCCATCATAGTCTGGAAGTTCTACTGGAACCTGTTCAGCATCATTTGTTGTTGTTATTAGGTGCTATCGAGTCTGCTCTGACTCACAGTGACCCTATGTACAACAAAACGACACACTGCCTGGTCCTGCTTCAGCCTCACAATCCACGCTGTACCTCAGCACCAGAGCAACATGCAAACTTTCACTTATGACAGATGGGTGGTAGCTGTGCATGAGATGCACTGAATGGGAATAGAACCTGGGTCTCCTGCATGGAAAGTGAAAATTCTACCACTGAACCACCACTACCAGAGTGTTGATTATCAGAATCCCCTGAGCCATGTCAGTTGACTGGAAGAGAGGATGGGGGGTGGGTGGGCATATATTTGTGTATTTGAAAAGACCCCTAGGATATCATGATTGCCATTAAGAGTTGCTAAAGTTGCTCATGAGAATCTGTAGCAGCACACTTTGCCAGAGGTGACCCAATATTCAAAACCAATTAGCATTATACTATCTTCTAAGAGGTGGGTGGCAAGGATCAACTACAGTCTTCTCAGCAGAGCTCTCACTACCCCAGAGTTCCTCATCATTCCTTTTGAGTGATTCTTAAATCCCCCTACCTTGTACATAGTAGACAGGTCTTTCTTAAAGGCATAAGAGGACTTACATAGCACTTGGGACATAGATGGATCTACATTTTTAAGTAGACTAGTCTAGTATTTCCATTAGCTATGCCACCAGCAAATCAAAAACATGAATAATGCCAGAAACTCAGCTAAACCATTTTCTGCACCATTGTACAAGCCCAGTGAACTTTGCATTGGCCACTCCATTATTTGAACATCTGCCACATTTTTCATTAAAATATTATTGAATTTGAGAAAAATGTGCAACACAATGGAACACATTGGACTGAAAGTTTGCTCTAGGTATCAGATGACTTTTACCATCTCTGAGCCCACCAAGTACTGCTAGATAAAAACGAACCATGCCAAAGCCAATCTCTAACTCACCCAAAAAATAACCTGTTCAAATTTTAACATAATCATTTATTGTCTGCCAATGTTTTCCAAATTATTATTTTAGAAATCAAAGCTGGGAAGCAAATTTCAGATGCTGAGAATTAAGTTCTTTCCTCTGATTCTAATAAGCTGATGACAAATTGCCCCAGCCTCGCTTCTGTACTGTTCATATACAACACAACCCATTCCCTTGTGAAGAGACCCACATTGTTCACGTACAATACACACTGCTAAGAAGGCTGTACCCAGCAGAAGGTGGAGACTGTAGGAGTGATGAGGGTGACATGGAGAGCACAGCTCTACAGACACTCTGCATGTATCTACCATCTGTGAGTCCTGCTGCTTGAGCTAACACCAGGGTATTTTCCCTCTAGGAGGTATATAGCCACTAGAAGTTCTATAAGAAATCACCCCAAGATTGACCACAGCTTCCTCTTCCTTACTCCAAACACGCCAGGCTGACCAATCTATAGTGGTTACACTCCTGCAGACATAGTAGCACTAAAGGAACAGAACTGCATCCATAAAGGGTACATTTCTGAATGCTTTATCCACAGCACCTACTGTCACTTCCTCTTGAAGTAGAATGTGTTGAGTCAGGGAGATAACTAGAAAGGGAATCTTATTCTGCTCAAAGATGTCAGTATGGAAGATTGCACACATGGGCAAAAAGGGTGTGAACATGTGGCCCTGGGGCACAGGATAGGTCTGGAGACTACCTCCTGCCCTTCCATTGTTATCTTCGATAAGATAGCACAGAAGGTATGTAAGAAAGTACCAAAGTTTCAGATCCAAGATGCCTAAAAAAATATCTACAGTCATTTCCTGGGCCTTTGATTAATTAAGATCCAACTGCTTACCTATCACTCCAAGTTTGGCTGCAAACATCAGCGAAATCCCAATAGGGAGGCCAATCACATAATATCCAATGGCATTAACAATGGCTCCAACCTTCTGATTTCCACTTCCCCTTAGAATTCCTCCACATGTGCACTGTAAGGCAGATAACATTCCATCAGTGTGAACATTGCTAATACCAGACCAGTCATCTACTACTATCAGTGCTTCTAAAAGACCTCCATCTCCTGAGTCTTTACCATTTGTGAAATTCTGACTTAAAATCTATGGTCATATGTCAATAGTCTTGTAATCTAAAGATACTAAAACTATTTGTATTATCTACCTACCCTAGAACCTTTTCTTAAATTTACTATAATCAGAAGAAATACATATATCATAAAAATGCTTAAGGGAATACTGTATAGTACTTACAGCAAGACCTTCAAAGAGGTGGGAGACAGCATAAATTGGAACCACCTGAGCCACCAGAGCAATGATTTCTCTGTTAGCAAAATAAAGCACTTGGAGATTAGTAGGAGACAAACATGGAAAAAGAGAAATAAACAGTAGCAGCTTCTGCTACAGCTCAGCAAGGTTTAGCTTCTGTGTCTAAATGACATGCTTCATACAATTCCAACAAGCATCCTCTTCAGAGACAATTCTACTGTGTCTTAGCTCATAGATGAAACCAGCTATACATTGTATCTCCCCACTTTCAGGAAATAAATGCAATCCATTTGGTCAATGTAGGAAGTTAAATAGGATGATTTGGCTCTTTTAACCCCCACAACCCCAAAATAAAGTTTGGATTCTATTGCCATCCTTTCAACCTGCCTCCACAGGCTGTCTAAATGTGTCTCTCAAGGCACAAGAGGCTCTCTTTATAAAACTAAGGTTGTCAAGCTATTAAGGGCTATAAACTCAAGCCAAAATCACTGCTATAGAGTCGATTCTGACTCCTAGTGACCCACATTGTGTTCCGGAGGCTATAAATCTTTACATAAGTAGATTGTCCCATCTTCCTTCTGTGGAGTGGCTAGTGGGTTTGAACTGCTGACCTTCTGGTTAGCAGCTAAATGCCAGATCCACTATGCCTTCAGAGCTCCTTTGTAAAGGCTCTAGGTAATATTTTATGGAATACCCTTGGTTCCTGGAAATGGGCCCTAATTCCTAAACCAAAGTCTTGAATTTTAATATCTACACAGAGATCAGTTGAGACTAGGAAAATACTGCCAACTGATCTGGGGAGGTAAAAAATTATAATTCCATTGAGTGAGCCAAGCCAAACCAAACCATTTGCTATTAAGTTGATTCTGACTCATGGTAACCCCATGTGTGCAGAGCAGAACAGTGCTCCATAGAGTTTTTAAAGCTGTGACCATTCAGAAGCAAATCACCAGACCATTCTTCTGAAGTGCCTCTGGATGAGTTCCAACTGCTAACCTTTGGGCTAGTGTACAACTTAACCATTTGCACTACTCAGAACTCTGAGTACGTTTAGTCACAATTAAACCCAGAACACTGTATAATATTTGTTGAATAAATGAGTAAGAAATCCATTTGGAGTTTTAGGGTCATGGTCTCATGAAACATCCCAGATAATTGGCTTAATAATGTGTTTAATGCTTCTATTCTACCTCCTAGTTTGTTGTGCAATGTCTGGGGTCTTAAAAGCTTGCAAGTGGCCAGCCAAGGCACAACAATTGGTTTCTATTCACCTGAACAACAGAGGAAGAAGGAGAGTTAGGAATAAGATAGAGATATGGAATGTGTAGCTAATTGCCTCCATCAGTAACTTCCTCCTTTGCCATGAGACCACAAGAACTGGATGGTGCTTGGCTCCGTTACTGAACATTTTGATCAAAGATTCCATAGAAGAATCCTAATCAAAAGGGGGGAAATGCAGAACAGAATTTCAAGTTCTTATGGACTCTAGACTATCTGGATCCATGGAGGGTGGATGAACTCCTAAAACTATTGGCCCAAGAAAATATATAAACCTTAAACCAAAAACATCCCCTAAAGTCTTAAAACCGAACAATACAATAGTTTAGCTTACCTAGTAAAAAAAGGTCTGCCTTGAGCATTATGCTCTTTTAAGACCTATCCATGTGGGATCAAATTGACAACACCAACTTGAAAGATTAGATGAAAACTTTAGGGGGCAGTGAATTTATGTTAATGAGGGAGGAACAACTCAGAAATGGAAGGTGAAAATAGCTGTACAACTCAAAGAAGGTAATCAAAGTCACTAAATTGTACACTGTTGAATCGGTGTATATTCTGCTGTGTATATTCTCAACAATAAAATTGAAAGGAAAAAAATGAATCCAGCACTGAACAAGATGATTATCCCCTTCCCTACCAGAAAAAGGACAGAAGTATATTTTTTTAAATTCAAATTTATTTTTTAATATAATATATACAAAACCTTAAAAGAAAAAAAAACATATGGAAAACCTTACTGAGAAAAGTCTTACTTCCACTCTTTTCCTAGCCCACTCCATTTCCACCTTCATTCCCAGGTACCAATTCTTAATAGTGTCTGTATTTGTTCAGTGTTTATGAAAATAAAGGCTAATTTCCCCTTTTCCAACTCTATTATTTAATTTAATAGCATTCTTTATGTGATGTTCTGCACTTTTTCCACCTAAGAACACATTCTGGAAATCTTTCTGTTTTACTGCATACAGAGCTTTCACATTCTTTTCTATTTAAAAAAAAAAAAAAACAACTCACTGTCGTCAAGTTGATTGTGACTCATAGCAACCCATCCATGGGTTTCCAAGGCGGTATCTCTACGGAAGTAGATCGCCCACTTCCTTCTAAGGAGTGGCTAGTGGGTTTGAACCGCCAGCCTTCTGGTTAGCAGTCAAGTGCCTTAGGCCCTACACCAAATATTCCACTGTGTGGTTGTACCATAGATTATTTAACTAGTCTACTATGCAGATGGTAGCATAGTGGCTCAGGCACTTGACTGCTAACCAGAAGGCTGGCAGTTCAAACCCACCAGCCACTCCTCGGAAGGAAG